TATTGATGCTACATTAAAAAGCAGCTTTACTAAATAGAATCTCAGTGAGTTATAGTCGACTTTTCCATTGTATAATATTCTTTACGCTATCCTTACAATGAAATTGTATCTCGGTTAATATACGGTAGATTTTCGGAAAACTTTTGCTGTCTAACATAGGCATGGAGTATAATAATTGTACTGCTCAGAAATTATTTAGGTCTCATTTTAGTTTATCTCGTCTATGTAATATAACTGTTGCAGTTCACTTACTTGTAATCATGAAAAAATCCCTGTTGAACTTTCTACAAAACGATACAAGAGGGTTCGGTCTAAGCTTGTAATTGGACAATACGTTCCAACAAAATAGTACACATCCAATATCACCACTTTCTAATATTATGAACGATCTTTTGACTTTGTTCATTCAAAGTTTGATTTCGAGAGGGAATTAATAAAGCATAAAATACCCCACAATAACCCTATCTTAAAACTATTTGAAAATAACTTCCATGTTACAATTTGTAGCTTAGAAAAATATTAACGATTAAAATAACTTGGCAAAACTATCAGCGATTCTAAATTTGCTGCTTACAGAAAACTAGGAAATGTGGAAAGTCAAACAAAACTAGAGTTGTTTCATGACAAGACAAGTATCTAACATTTTTAGAAGAAACTCGTATATATTGGAGGATTTTAGGAATTCGGAATCGTTGTTAATTGAATTCGAAGTTCAGAGTAATTTTTATCGCGTAATTTTTCAAAACATTAGACGAAGAGATCGGAGAATATCTTGAAGATTTAGAATGAAAATTGACTTGATTGAGAAGGATAGGAAATATTCATCTTGACAGTATTTCTGGCGTACTTGCTTTAGGATAGTCTGAGCTTTTTAAGGAGATAATTTGAAAAAATACTATGCATTACTTTGGCCATATAGTAAGACATAGGAGAATATGTAGCACTAATGTTTTTCATCCTACCTACGCTCTAAAGTATATTTTGATGAATCACTCTGACAGATACTTTAAAGTGTCTCAACAACTTTTTTTCGATGAATTCACACCAGTCAGAGTAAGAGAAGGAGTTTAGCTCAACTCTGTACTCTCGATCCTTCGGAGGATATTACTAAGAACAACCGTTTTCAGTCTTTGGCATTCATTGAAGAACCATTTTGAATTGTTTCCCAGTGATCGAAATCAACTTACAACAAAAAGCGTCCTTGTCGTGGTAGCGTATCGATTTTCAACCTCTCCATGCTCATCTAACATATGCGAAGAGAGAAAGAAAGAGAAAGTTTGAACATATGTGCACACAATTACTAAACTTCTATTGAATCATTGATTTAAGCATGAGATACTTCTATAACGTAGAAACTATTTTATTATCACGAGATCAATAATATCAAGGCTCTATCAGCTAATATATCTATTGCTCAAAATTCTGTTTTAATTTTGTTATATGTGAGATACTTTACCTTTTTCAAAGTTAGAAACCAATGATTGACCTTGGCAACAAGTTCCTTTGGCAAGATTCAAACGCTTCTATGCTAATAATCTGCAATTATATACAAACTTATATAAAAAAGAAAGTAGACATAGTAGTAAGAAATAGTCCATTGAACGATCGAACTAGTTGATATAAAATATCTATTTGAAATATTCTCATGCATTATTTAAAAACAATAATTGCATAGTAGTAAACATTACATTCGAAAAAAAAGCAATTAGAACGCCAACGATCTTATTTCCCTCATTCATTTTTTGGTAAGTACGTCGTAATTGCAATGAAATACTCACAGAACGTAATTAATGAAGAAAAATTGTTTTTAATATTGTGCAGTCATACGTGACTACCATCATCATGCTATGACTGCTCACAGCTACGCTGCAGATTCCATAATGAATCGTGACTACCACGCAAATCAACCCTATTGAAAAATATAGACTCTACCGTAGAGTATAGCTTGCATGGGTCATCTTACATTTCTATCATGTACTTTGCAATAGCGAAATTCAAATAAAAAAAGAGCGAAAAGATGAATGATAAAAATCTAGGATATTTGCAGTGGGTCGGACGGAATTTTTAGTCAAATAACTTTGCCTGAACTTGTCATGAAGCTTCCAAACGCTTACGATTGCGGTAAGTTTCAAGTCTTCCAAGACAATTCTACCGATTGAAAAGCAAGATTCGATAAGTTTTTTTTCGAGCATAAGTAAAAAATTCAATGCATTTCTGAGAACGTGAACACAAATCGATGTATCGACATGAGAAATCTATTCATCCAGTGAAAAATTTTAAGGATTAAAATCGACTAAAATTTCAAAATCCTATGGGTCTAATCGAAATTAAAAATTCGGTGTTTTTTTTCAAACCAAATCAAGATTTTTATAGATTATGATCGACATTATAATCTATATCAATCGATTAGAAGCTTTCAACATTTGATTAACATTTTTATGTTCATGCCTAAAAATTGGATTATAATTTTGATTTTGTTAGACAAAAATCAGATTATCGATATCGATTATTCCCGTAGGACTTAGAAATTTTAAAAACTCGAATTTTTCCCTGTGCTGTCATCTATTAATCTGCTCTAATCTATTATTGCCTATCAATTTATTTCAATTTGTTATTTCCTGCTAATCGATTTTAATCTATTATCACTTCTTTATCAATTTCAATGATATACATCGAAGCTGAGCGCTTTCCTCGATATTAAAATGCGAGACCCCAGTTTTTCATAGATTTATTTTCGATTGCTCTTGTTTAGAAATCATGAAGTTGCCACCAAGTTTAACTCCAGCTAAGGAAGTTACATTTGGAACTACTGCATAAATTGTTTCAAATAGAGGTGGTGCAATTACATTAGACATCAATTAAAATTAATTAAAGTTCAATAAAAATTAAAACACCGATTTAAATTAATTAAAATATTTTAATCGATTTTAATTAATGTACGTATATTTTTACTTTTTTCTATGAAATACTTTACATCGAAAGTGCTTTTGAAAATCGTTTGCTTACAGGTTGTATTCATATCATGTGTGCCTTCTACTCACGACAATCATCAGTTTCACTTGATTACCACTTTTTGAAATTGATTAAACATGATTCGTGCTTTTGATAAACGCGCTATTGATACAAAATAATTCTAACTGGATTACTTTATCCAATTTACGTTTTAAAAAAGTTATAATATTGTTCATAATCATGTATATCGTGTTTCTACCAGTACTTCTGTCCTAATTAGTATAATTTGACATTTCTATCTACTGCAGTCATAGCAGCAAATAATATTTTGCCTGAATTGCCGTCGATTATGACTAAATCTTTCGGTTCTGCATAGATCTTACTGATATTCTCCAACGCTTTAAAAATCGATTATCGCTAAAAATTGGATTGCAGTTGAGCTAATCGTAACTAATCAATGGAAAATCTATCGATCCCACTTTCGTCGATTCAGATTTTAATCAATAAAATAATTTAAATCGATTGTTGATGAAAATCGGATTGCAGGCGAGTTAATCAAGAAAAATCGGTGAACTAGATTATTCTTTTTTATCTGA